TTGGGACAACACAGATGTTTCCATTTACATGTCGCACCTACATATGCCGCACAATGTATATATATAGTAGGTAGATAAGTAAATAGCGAGTTGTGAGGCAAAGCACTTTGATGTGTATTTACTGTTGGAGCACTATACTCCTCGATACAAAGCACTTGGGAGATTACAAAAAAGACCAACTTTTTTTATATTCAAAAAATTTTTTAACTGAAATTGAATGTATTTTCAAAATTTTCAAATTCAAAAGAAGCTACTGAGTTTCAAAATGACATGTGCACTTTATGGGTTAACTTCACTCCGAAATGAATTCAAATTCTGAAAAGAGGGTTGAATTTCAAGTAAACCTGGTTCTCTATTTAATATAAAGTAAATAATAGTGGGGCGCGAAAAATATATATATATATCTTATATGCTTGTGTTTGTAAAATTGTTACACAAGCTACTGTGCATGACATAGAGTTTTAATACTATAACTGTAAGTCAGTAATGACATAACCACACACTTCCTTGGATTTAAAAAAAGAGAGTGAAAATGCGAACAAGTGTGACCACAATTTATGGTTACAACTATAACCAAGAAAGATAAGAAGTCTTCTACTAGTTTTCCAACCACACCTTCTTTTTATTAACGATAAATAATTCCTAATTACCTTGTAAAGTCGTGATTGAAATTACACATATATATAGTGTAACCAACAATAAAACCAATAACATTCTTCATTTCTCACACTGCAAACAACTGTGTGAATTAGAGAAATGTTAAATTAAATAATAAAGAAAATATCTCATGTTCAGCGATAAAATAAGAATTACGCTTATGTAAATTTTATAATAATAAAAGTTGTACTTTGTAGTTATTTCTGTTTTTAAATATATTTCTGATAACTAAAGGTTTTGTCAATGACAAAATAGTACTATTTAGTTATTTTGTAACTACTAAAATTTTTAATTCTATAACCGAGTTTTTAATTTTCGTTTTTAATTCTTAATTTTATAAAAAAAAAAATTACCATCTCGAAAGGTATTTTTATAGGTATATATGTATGAGAGAGTGCATTAAAGAGAGGAAAAAGAGGCGAGGAATCGCTTAGGCCAGGAAACACGACAAACTGCCAACCCTAATGCCAATTAATGCCATTCCAAGTGCAAAACTCAAGGGGCTTCTCTTCGACCCCTTGGATACTTTTTCTCGAGAAGTTAATGAAGCTCTTTGGCGTAATTATCGCCATATAAACACGAAGGAGTTTCAGTGAGCCAAGCACGAAACACGTTCAATGTTAAGTGAAGGTACGTGGGTCAATTACCCAGTTTCAACTTCAAGTTTCTGCCACAACATCTATTCCTTATCTTCGAAATATCAAAAAAAAAAATATATTTTTTACTTTTAATTAATTCACTCCTAAGTTCGAATCAAAACTTATTTTAAATTCCAGAATTAGTGATCGATTTGACTTTGAAAGTATAAATAAATGATTAAACTAAAAATATAGGAAAAAAGTATATACTGTTAGAATGTTATATGCGTTGAGTGGAACAAATTATAGTGCGCGCAGAAAATGCATTCCAGTCTAATATATATATATATATATTTGCAAGTCTTTGCATCCTTTACGAGTTTACGAGAGGGAAGCGCACGATCTAAAAGCGCGACTAACGAGCCGTGAAAATCGAGAATGGCATCAAAGAAATTCGACGACCAAAACATTGTCTATATCGTTTTACATTGTCAAAAATTTTACTCTAAAATAATTTCATCATTTTTTCTAAATTCTTTATATAAATATCCATTCTAAATGGAATTGTTTTGAAAAGACCTAAACTACGACTCCCTTCCCTTTTGTGTAAATACTTCCCAATAATTCTTCTTTTTTTTTCCTATATATATTGAAACATAATCCGAAATGCAAGAAAGACGGGAGAAAGAGAAAATAATTGCCGCTTTCAGGCAAATACTTATACATATAAACAAGGTATGGTAGACCGCGTTGAGTAAAAATGGTGCAAAAAAAAAGAAGGTGAGAAAGGGAAGCCGGAATGCAAGGTAATTCGAGAGTTATTTAAACGACAATTCAAGGAGACGGAAACTTGTTCCTCCGCTCAATACATTCTCAGTGGGAATATTGTGTGTACAATTGCTTTGTACAATAGACTCCAAAAAATACTCTCTCTCAAGAGTCTTATATGCGACCTCTTGACGGGAATAAAATATTATGCGAATGAAATAGAATTCAAAAAGAGAGAAAAAAAAAAAAAAACTGGGGGACACCTAACTAAACCACTAAAAAAAAAAATACCCCTCATGTGTACCAAGTCCTAGAGGACCAATTTACAGTTCCCTGAGGCTCGAGTAATATACTGTTCAGTAAAGGGGGTTGTCGTCCATGACTATTGTGTTTTGTACCCAGTATATGGATTATTTTGGCGGAAAAAGGGATTTCAAAGCAGACAGCTCATCTCTATGGTATGGCCCTAGGCTTATTGGCATCGAGAGAGAAAGAGCGCACCTGCTGCTGTTGTCGAGCAAAAGTTCTTCTTTTCTCTCTCTCCACGAATTGGTTTTACGAATCCCCGGGTAGATTCGTTTTCCGATCAAGCAGCAGGCCTCATGATATACAGAAAGTCAAGAAATATATTGGAGACGTCGATAAACATCAAGAGAGAGAGAAAGAGAGACGTCGCCAGGGCAAATACGCCAGACTTTTTATGGCTTGTCGTATAACTACATAGTTAACGACGCTTCGGATTCAGAAAAAGTCAGGGGCTATTTTTTTTTTTTATCGTTTGCTGAGCTTTTTATTACACCAATGAACCAAAAGCACCTGCCTATATACCATCCAAAACTATATACTGTTATTCATTAACTTTATAACTGAGTTATGCGCTGTCTTGTCATGATTCTCAAAAAAAGGAACCCAAAAATTATTAGGAATAATTTTAATTTTTGAACAAAGAATTTTTTTCGGTTTCTAAATATTTGTTCAAGAGAGTATATATATTTATATACTGTGTTCGTTTAAATAGTCCGATTAAAAGTATCAATATTTGTTAAAGAGAGAGAGAGGGAGAGAGATAAAGAGGGGTTGGAGAGAGAACCTTGTAGAGTGCATGAAGATAATAGGTACCTAATGGAGGCATACGTACTTAATGTATAAACTCCTACAACCCCTTGGCATTGCTGACACCCTCCACCTTGCGTCCTCCCCTTTATATTGTCGTCCACCCCAAACCAAATCCCTGAAACACCAACCCTACTGATACGCACCCCTTTCATTAATCCACGTGCTACACAATATCGTCGTGCCACATCCGGTATAAAGCGAATTTAGGGTCTTTGCCATGGGTTACAACCCTCAGGTCAGGATTATTACCATAATCATTATTTGTATGCCGCACGATCATCCTCACTGAAGAAGGAGTTTCAATCACAGAAAACCTAATTTGTATTTTTCATCATTCAAAAAATTAATAAAGTAAAAATATCAATGTATTATAAAATTAGTTTCTCTTTCTACAAAGTTTGTTAAAATTAAGATATAGCTTCCTAAAGAAACTGAAACAAGTAATGAATTAGGGAGATTTGAGTCCATTATTATATATGAGAAGGATGAAGGTCCGAAATATCAGACAACATTGTGAAATGCGTTTCAGTGGTCAGTGATGATTGGGTGAAATACAGAGTAGTCCCTATCGTAGGGATCAGAGAGAGAGAGAAGGGACACGTGCGTATATATGCTTGCAGGCGTGGACACGTGTCTCGATGTTCTCCAGTGTATACGTACCAACCCCGCACGATCAACATTTCCAACGTACTCTGGGGGTTCTCGACGCAAATCTAGCCACGTCCACTTCGAAACCAGATTGAGTTACGCGCATCAAATATTTCATACTATATGCGCCATATAGTTAATACAACAACTACCACCACCACCACCACCTGACAGATGTTAACTCAAGTACTGTTAAATTGTTTTTAAAAAAGAAAAGCAGCTCATCAATATCACATATTCTGGGTAAAATTAAATTTCAACTTTTCTCCAATTTGTATTTTCTATTGTATATTTGTATATTATAAAAGAGAAAAGAGAGCGTCGTTTAATTTTGATAGATTAGGTTTCCTTGTGGTAATTAAAGTTAACAGCTTTCTGCATATAAATACACACATTTGTTTGAAGAAAAAGGAAAGAAAAAATTATCTTCAGATGCTTGGATAGATAACAACTTATATTTACCTAAAGAGAATGATTCTTGAGTCATTTGACTACAAGGAATTTTCAGGTAAGTTCATATATAAGTTGACCGTATCTACAACTACATCTTCTCCATCTCTCTTTCTCTCTCGCTTCTCCACTTGCGGGCAAAAGACTTACTCAACTCCAGTGACAATGGAATGCGGTTTATGGGGCGGACTGGATCTACAGTAGGGCTTACCGCACTAATTGAGCAGACTCATTATAAAATCAAATCCCAGAATAGAACCTCTTCCTGACGAATTTCTTAATATTGCTTTAGTCATTCTCCTTAAATAAAGGGTTAGTTTCAAGAATAATATGTTAGAAATGTTATATTATTTTGTAACATTTAAGTTGGTAGTAGTTAGTAGTAGTTAGTAGTAAATACAAGTCAATAAATTCGTCAAAAATTTGATTATTAATCAAATTTTAACGTTACAATTTATAAATTAACAGAGGGAGGAAAAAATTTGAAACATCTATTGATTCGAACGCAGTGTGAGTCATCAGGGTTTACAGTACTTTTTCATACCTGAAAGTAGTCGATTCACTGGAAATGTCGTTTCTTTGCTAAACATGGCAATACCGCCGTCGGGTAGTAACTATACACATTGTCTAGCAAACACACTTAAATAAACACCAGTTTCATCAACTTACCAATTGTACTTCCACATTTAAGTAAATGTTAACAAATTATTAATTATTTTTCCAACATTAAACTAAATGCGCAATAAAATTATTATCAACTAAAACACCAAGTTATTTACTCACCGGATGTCTAGCAGCTGCAGCCGCTGCCACAGCGGCGGCATTTATTCCAGCGCTTGGATACATTTTCCTTGTTTATGTCCGCAGAAAACACTACGGTCCTTTATTTTCTCTGAACTTTCCTTGCCACGTTTTATTTCTTTTTTTTTATATCCAAAGTTGCATCAGTGCACCACGCGATTTGCAAAAAATACCCTCATCGCGCTAACACTATTAGGTCACTAATCACCAGAAACAAAAAAAAAAAAACACACACACACACACGCGAAGAAACACAGCGCTAAGAGAGATGTTTGTTTATCAATAATTTCTGATAGGAAATTGTAATATTTCCCTTGAAATTATGATACGCCATCCAATCGCTATTTTTTAATATTAGCTGCTTCTTTTAAATTTGTATCTCCTGTGTATTTTCTCTCGTGTGGTTTTGCCGCTCTTGTCACGCAATGAGAGAAAAACGAAACAACGCCAACGAACCGTGCGGTGACCGTCGATAAGGTAGGAAGAGACCTTAGCGCAAGGGCGACTCGGAAAAAGACCGACGGAGCGTGGAAGCACAAGGTGCGAGTGAGAGAACGAGAGACGCTCTTCTTTCTCGAACAATGATTCTAAAAAGAGATACACTCTTTTATAAAAAAAAAAAAAAAAACAAAATATATTTCCTCCACAAAAACCAAAAAAAAAAAGACCAACACTTATACACGGTCTTATTAATTATAATACTAGAATTTTTTCTATAAAATATAAAAACACATCGACTTTTTTTTTTTCCAAACACGCACACTACACTCTTGTCACGCGCGATATTTTTATCTGCGGTAAAATCCACAGAAACACTGTATAACGTTAATCCTTTCTCCTGATGGAGTTTGTTGAATAATCCAATGATAATAAATTAATATTCACTTTTTGTTTTTTTTTAATTATTATTCGAAATTTGAGAAAGCTTGATTCTCTAAAACGAAAAATATTTTATTATAAGGAACAAGACAAACGATCCTCTCTCTTCCGTAGTCTCGAACCGACTGACTCGAAAGCGTGGTGGGGATTATATCCCCACCACTACACATCCAAACAGCTCTCGTCGCTTTTCCTTGCCCCGCTTCTCCTTTCCACTCATTCCGCTCCACACAACAAGAGTCCGACCCCACCAACATTAACCGGCGCGATAGCTCCTTTACAATTAGTCGCTCGGTTATGTAAAAGCCCGAAATCGCAAGGCACGAAATCACAGCTTTCGCGACGACCTCGTTAATAACCAACTTTGTCACTGAACTACCACGTTCGCTTTATTCTCAATGTCTCAACTATCTATCGAACATAATTTCTCATTGTTTTCATGTCACTGTTGTTGCTCTAAAAAAAATACTATAATTTTTTTTTCTCTCAAGAGCAGAAAACTTGTTTTAATAGTTTGGTATTTTCAAGTAGTTTTTTCAAGTATTTAAAGAAACCCACTATCTAAGATGGTAAACAAAACTTTAAAGAGATATTTGATAAACTATGGAGGTTGTGTATATAGTACGATTTTCTCAAGTTTACGATTGATCGAAGGGTCATGTGAAGAAACTTCTTATATAAAATGAAAAAACTAATAATTGTTGAAAACAATCATGTTAAAGTTATTCTTTATTCAATATTTACGTAATGATAAACTTTTTAAAGAAAATTTGATGTAATTTTAATAAATATTAAATATAATTTAAAAAAAAATACAATTAGAAGTCAGAAGTTTTGGATATAATAACACAGCAAATCGTATTACAAGTTTTCAAATGTCAAAACGCATATGCAAAACAGTGTGCTTGTTGGGTTTGGTATTTGGAAGCAGAGAGTTTTGGAAAATGTTGGATAGTGGATGGTCTTGTAGTCGTTTAAACGAGGCAAGCGTAACGACGTGCCGGGCATACGCGAGTATTAGCCCCCGTTGGTCGGTGTGCAAACAAATCGAAAGTTTTTCGCAAAATGGCCGACACCGGGCTGACACGGATGTCCGCATAAACTTCCCTTCTCTCTCTCACTCTCTCACTTCAGGGGGTTCAGACATCTCTTACTACCCCTCAGGCTGTTCTCGCTCACTCAACCGCCCCTCTTATGGCGATTCTCTCTCTCTCACTCGCCACTCGTGATTTCCCTCACTTCCCACACTACCACAAATATGGCGCCTCCACCCGTTTTCCAACCCCATGTCCCCTTTAGCTCTCCCAGGGAGAGACGAGCTCAAGCGAGAAGCCCTGATCCAACGAAGAAAGGAGCGCGAGAAAGAGCGAGAATCACAGATAGAATGTTTGCACGTGTATTACGATTGTGTATGTGAAACAGAGCGGGTGAGACGTAAGCATTCCATTCTGTGTGTGTGTGTGTGAATACCATACACATTTGCAAGCATACACTCCCAAGCAGTTTCCTACTTGATTGCCGCTATCGCTTTGGCCAGCATGAAAAGAGGTTACTCCACGTGGAGTCTGTCGTTCAACCTCAGCCAATGAGCATTCAACTTGACGTGCCTTGACAAATCATTTCACAGCTCTCCCTACTTTTGTTGCCTGACTAGTCTCAACTACACTGTCAAGAAACGAATAGAAATCTTTGCTCAGCCAATCATTTTTGGTGTTTCACTGAAGCATCACTGATGACTCCACGCGGATTCACAATAAAGAGAGGGGGGCCTATATAGCCAAGGTGCTATACGAAGCCACAGCGAAACATGAAAAATGGGGGGCTACACGGAGAAAAACACGGAGCCCCGGGGGTGATAGCGGAGGCGGAGAGAAGGTGAAAGAAGAGAGATAGAAAAGTGGGAAAAGGATGGAATGACGGCAGACAGAGAGTTTGCGGGATGGATACAGAGAGAGAGAGAGAGAGAGATCCTAGGAATCGAGACACGGAAGGAGGGTTCGAGAGAATGAGAATGGAAAAGTAACATAACGAAACGTCGATCCCATTACTGGAAGCCCTCCCTCGTTTTCCTCTCTCTCTCTCTCTTTCTCTCTCTCTCTACATACGAGATGATGCTGGTCGAGACCCTTAATCCAAGGAGGATTAGAAACCCCCATTGTCATGCTTCCAGGAAGACTCGATACGTATATTATGTACTTGAAAAACCTTGGCATTTTTGGGATTTTTAAGCTAAAGCGACACTCTCTCCTTTTCTCTCTCTCTCTCTTTCTCTCTCTAGATTGGTCCTCATGCTCGCCGAAATTCGCATTCAAGACCCTTTTGTTTAGTCTTTAGCCGTAGCTTTCCGTGCACCTCTTATATTCCCTTCAGTATTAATACTCTTTTGTTCTAACGTCCTTCATTTCTCTTCTGCACAATTCGCTGCTCGTTTTCCTTTATCCATTCGTTATAATACCACCTCTTTCACACTCCTTTACACGCCTTAGTAGCAGCGCTCACTATATATATATATATATATATTTCATGTCTTCTTCATTCCATGATTATGTATTCTCATCAAAATGTATCTAATAATTATATAACTACAACAACTAATAGAGTTACATTTCAAGTTATATTTACTATTAGTACAGTATTTTTACTTTGACAATTTTTCTTCATGAAAAAAAAAAAGAAAATAAACAAAAACTTTTCCGATGAAATATATTTTTATACCAAGTATTTTCCTTTTATAAAGGCGGTTGTATTTCTTTTACTATCAGTCTCCCTGTGGATTTAACTTGTTATATTTCTTTTTCTATATATATGTACTTCTATTTTTTCACTTTTTCTAAATTTTTGACTTTCCTCACTATATGTATTTCAACTTTTTTCCTCTATATATATATGTAGAAAGAGAGGTCTCTTTTCTCTTCTGTCAGTTGCGGATAACCTTTCTTTTTCCCTTGGACATAAGAACATTCTCTTGAATCTCGTGTACAATGTTTTTCCTTTCTCTAAAATGCAAGGTCTCTCCAACCCTTTATGTTTAAGGTCTTCTTTATTTTCTTTCTTGATTTTGGTTTTTTGAAAAGTTTTTTTCCTTCGCTCTTTCAATACTCTCTGAATAAGTATAAAAAATAACTGATTCGAGAGCGAAAAGTTAGTCATTAATGTAAATTGTAATGTTGAATCATTTAGTTAAAGATAATTAATTACTAGTTAAATTCAATTTCAGGTTATGTAAAAATAACTGAAATTGTAGTAAAATTTCTATATTAATTAATGCATATAGTGAAAATTGACTAACAGTTCACGGAGAGAAACAGATGGTACGGGGTACTATCTAGATAGTACCAAGTACCATATTTGATTTTACATATACGGACAGCTATCTAGATTCAATCAGTTATACTATCCAGATTGTACGAAGTAACATCATGATTGTAGTGGGTAACATAACCATACTTTTTGTAACATCTTTGATAGTACCGAGTAGCATAATGATGGTACCGGATAACATCTACTTTTTACCTTCTTAAGATCATAAATTCTTACCATCTATTTCTCTCCGTGTTGAATAACAGTTGCCATACTAACGGTTGTCATATAGTAATAGATGCCGTAGTAACGGTTGCCATAGTGACAGTTGACACAGTAACAGTTGTCATAGTAACAGTTACCATATAATAACAGTTGACATAGTAACAGTTGACATAGTAACAGTTGTCATAGTAACAGTTACCATATAGTAACAGTTGACATAGTAACAGTTAACACAGTAACAGTTGTCATAGTAACAGTTCCCATATAATAACAGTTGACATATAGTAACAGTTGACATAGTAACATAGTTGCCATAGTAACAGTTGACATAGTAACAGTTGTCATAGTAACAGTTACCATATAATAACAGTTGACATAGTAACATAGATGCCATAGTAACAGTTGCCATAGTAACAGTTGACATAGTAACAGTTGACATAGTAACAGTTGACATAGTAACAGTTGACATAGTAACAGTTGACATAGTAACAGTTGACATAGTAACATAGATGCCATAGTAACAGTTGCCATAGTAACAGTTGTCTTAGTAACAGTTGACATAGTAACAGTTGACACAGTAACAGTGGTCATAGTAACAGTTCCCATATAATAACAGTTGACATATAGTAACAGTTGACATAGTAACATAGTTGCCATAGTAACAGTTGACATAGTAACAGTTGACATAGTAACAGTTACCATATAGTAACAGTTGACACAGTAACAGTTGTCATAGTAACAGTTACCATATAATAACAGTTGACATAGTAACATAGATGCCATAGTAACAGTTGCCATAGTAACAGTTGACATTGTAACATAGTTGCCATAGTAACAGTTGACATAGTAACAGTTGACATTGTAACATAGTTGCCATAGTAACAGTTGACATAGTAACAGTTGACATAGTAACAGTTGACATAGTAACAGTTGTCATAGTAACAGTTACCACTTAATAACAGTTGACATATAGTAACAGTTGACATAGTAACATAGTTGCCATAGTAACAGTTGACATAGTAACAGTTGTCATAGTAACAGTTACCATATAGTAACAGTTGACACAGTAACAGTTGTCATAGTAACAGTTACCATATAATAACAGTTGACATAGTAACATAGATGCCATAGTAACAGTTGACATTGTAACATAGTTGCCATAGTAACAGTTGACATAGTAACAGTTGACATAGTAACAGTTGACATAGTAACAGTTGTCATAGTAACAGTTACCACTTAATAACAGTTGACATATAGTAACAGTTGCCATAGTAACAGCTGACATAGTAACAGTTGACACAGTAACAGTTGACACAGTAACAGTTGTCATAGTAACAGTTACCATATAATAACAGTTGACATATAGTAACAGTTGTCATAGTAACAGTTGTCATAGTAACAGTTACCATATAGTAACAGTTGCCATAGTAACTGTTGACATAGTAACAGTTGACATAGTAACAGTTGACATAGTAACAGTTGACATAGTAACAGTTGACATAGTAACAGTTGCCATAGTAACAGTTGCCATAGTTACAGTTGACATATAATAACAGTTGCTACAGCAATAATTACCATACGTAACAATTAACATGATAACAATTAGCCTAGAAA